TGTTCAAGCAATCCACATTTTTGACCGGAGAAGTCAAACTGATATTTGACACTGAGTTTTTGAGGTTCGTCCATCCCGCGTGTAACACCTCCTCCTGAAAGATTTCTCCGCAAGACAGCACATTGTTTGTCAAGGAAGAAGACATTGCTACTGTTATTGCCAATTACCAAACCAGAAGGTAAGCAAACCACATGACAATCATTTCTACATCGTCCAATTTTAAAGCAACATGCGTAAGACTTGAAGATTTGACAGAGGTGTTTGAAGTGGCAGAGGAATGGAATGGAGCAATTAAGAGGCTTAGAATGAAAAGTCGTTTAAAGTGAAACAAATGGGCTTTTGGACAGAGAGGAGGAGAATTATAATTTCTACCCAGAGGGTATTAAAGTTGTGCAGAACGGCTGTATCAGGCAGACACCATATCAACATTTAAATATAGGTTAGACAAAATGGTTGATTGAAAGTGAGATGAGAGGACATGGAACAGGCAGGTGAATGGGATTTGGACCACTTTGAATGCTGAAGACCAACACAGTCTGGTCGGGCTGAATGGCCTATTTAATTGCAATAATTTCCATATAATTCTATGTATATTATTCAATCATGAATCCTTTCTAGTGCCCTTTTACAATTATTGAGGTGGCTAATTATTCTTGTAGTTTTGCCTCTGGAATTTTTGTTTGCAGAGTGACACTGGATAGTTATATGTAATTTGTAGTTTTCCTTTTGAAAACCAAATGTTTCCCATTTAAGGATTGACAGGAGAGATGTCATGGGTAACCCACATCGTCTCCTGTAAACAAATTTGTCAACGATTGGGATAATTCTGGTCCAATTAGACCGGGAGCAAAAAATGTCTTTACTGTGCTTCCAACAGTATGTTGGCTGCTTAAGGAAAATGTTGTTGACATGAGAAGGCATTTGAGAGTTCTTTAAAACTGAATACACTCCAATTATAATCACCTATTGAGACAGTGTATGCCTTACACACATGTATATGTGCTCCTTAAGACAGTTGTTCTCTAGTTACACTTCAGTAACATATGCTTCTAAATTTAACTATTCTCACTCTCATGGATATATCATCAATGCTGACACATACACATGCTGTCATAGGCATTCTTGGATAAGGCCTGTAATGTGTTACTAATAGTCTTTGTACTTAGTTTCCCAGGATCTTATCGTGATGCATTTACACTCCTCCACATGTGGACCTACAATCCCCTTCACTCACACACAGGCAAAACTTTCCACTTTCAGACATCACTTGTGAGGTCTCACACGCAGCAGCTGACATGTTAAAAAAAATTGAGGGCGCATTGCCCCCAGCTTGTTGATGTACGATGACAAGTTTTCATGGGTAAAGTCGTCACTGTTTCTTGGTAATCGACACACCCAGGCAAATCTGCTGTATGTTGTGCTGTAACCCACGTTATTTGTATATCTTTATTACAGTGTCTGAGTGCAGCGAGCCAAGCTTGCAGAATGAATCATACAGTTTCATGTGAAAGAAATAAGGCCCCCTGACAAACATTTGACTTCTCACAATGTAACTGCAGTTGGAATGACTGAGGTGACAATGGTCATTTGGGTGCTAGAAAGTGACCAACAAAATCCACAGCGAATACGACTGGCACAAGCTTTTGACTCCCTCGGGCTGACCTCTCACCAATGTGATTTCCTTGGAGATTTTTCTCTGCTTTTCCCTCCTCTCGGACACATTTGGACTCTGGGTGATGATATGAAAAGACCCAACTGCTCTCCTGTTTTTCCTCAGTAGGCTTAAAAGCGAGGGCAGGAAGATGAGAAGAAGGAATGTGCAAATGATAAAGGGAGAAGGCAGGGGAATGGTACTCGGTGCGTTGTTCATTTGGAGAATTGGTGCAGGCATGATGGGCCAAATGGCCTCCTCCTGCACTGTACCCATTCTCTGATTCTGTGCAACGAACCCGCTGAAATCCACTTCTTTCTGGTGAGAAATTGCTTGGTCTCTGCTCATTGCTGTGGCTGAGATGAACAAGTCATTGCATTTTCTGCTCTGACTCCCATTCACTGCATTTGATACAAAACAGTATTTGTCCGGAAATGAACAGAAATGCTGATGAGAGGGCAAACCAGCAAGACACAGTAGCAATTAATAATACAATATTTCCATTTAGGCTCTGAGTCCTTCTAAGTTAATACCGTACCTTAGCTATTAATAATTATGGTATCGTGTGTATCAAATACTGCAGTCTGGTGACCTTACTCAATTGTCCTTGGGGGGTGGTGTGAGAGAGAAACGTAATTTCTTCCACCTAACCCAGCGTCAAGTTTATTTTTTTTCTAGCCTCTGTGAACAGGCCTTATGAGGGTTGGTGATGGAGATTAGAATTGAGGATGTTAAGCAGGCCGCATTGGGACTGAATGCCACAGCTACACCAGTTAGTCTTTGTCATACGCTCACACGAGAGGTGTTGCTTAGTTGACTTTCCACAGAGAGCAAAGGAGTTGAAAACTATCACTCTTATGCAATCACTAGCTTCTGACTGAAGATCAACAGAGGCCTGAGAGATGGTTGGCTGCCCACCATCTTGGCTGAAGACCAAGATGATCTCATGGGCGCTGTTATTCGTCAACCACCTACTTATCTTTATGTTCTGTCTGATCACTTGAGGCTATCATGTAGGATCCATGCGCCAGCCAATAGCAATAGTTACTTTGCCACATGACAGCTTGTTTATCAAAAACCCTAATGTGTTGCCTATCACTAAAGACTATTATTAGCAGGAACATTTTGCAAATGTGATACGCAGTTATAGCAATAATTAGCCTGTATTGTATAATGTCGCTGTCAATGGTGACAATAAGTGAAAGAATAAACAAGAATCACTTGAGAACACTTGCCTTAATAAATTGTGAACACACAGCAGAAGTTTGTATCCATTGGATCTATATCAGAGGAAACATTTTGTGTTACCATTTTAAAAGCTTGTAAAAAACACAAATGGGAGAGTCCTCTTTTTGTTTAATTCCTCTGAGATTTTTTTTCAGGCCATTCTGCAGTGCACAATGCCACACGAGACTTGGGAATGTAAGGTTGGTGCTTGAGTTCAGTTCAGAGCAACGACACCCAAGTTTTATAACATTTGAATTTAGAAACACGATATACATCATAGGAGAGCATTAATGTCCTGTCATTAGTCAAACTTCTCTGCTCAGCGTCCACTGTGTCTATTCAAAATTTTAAAATTAAAACAGTTAAAAACATGGCAATGGATACTTCTGCATGAATGTCAGGATGTGGGTTCATGAATGGAATTCTGTTTTTGATAAATTCTTCATTTTTGGTTGAACTGTCTGGGTTTACCTTTCCACTGGATATAATCAATAGTAATTGTGAAAAATGAATCATGAAAAGAACTCTTTAACTATTTGGTTGTATACAAAATGTAAAATGTCTTTAATTCATTTCCCTTTACACTTCAATTACAACATTTCGAGAATCTACAAAGAATACAATACAAAGAGAATCCCAGAAACTGGAAGCAAAATGTGGCTTAATGTCTAGCAACCAAGGCTTACATTACACTATATCGAACAATCAGTGGCACTAAAGTGGCTCATCATACATTTATTTTTGTTGGAAAGAAATTGGTCTTTTCAGAAAAATAATCTAATATTTTCACAAATCATTTCTGCTATTTCAAATGAACATCTCAACACTCCTTAAGTATACATTTTCTGCCGTTAACATTTGCAAAAGTAAACCTGGTCTTGATGCTGAATGCCATGAAATAATATCCACCCTCAGGTTCACATTTAATTTCACCATAACTCACTAACTAAATGTTGACATGAAATTTTCACTGGTGTGAAAAGAAAAGGAAATGCAGAAAAATTGATATAATTCAGACATAATATAGTCCATTGAAAAATTAGAACAAATAGCCAAGAAATCCCATGAATAAGTAAAGAGGTGAGGGCTGATTGAATCGAAAGAAAAGAACTTGGATAAAGTAATGGACAATGATGGAATAATAATGGACTTAGGAACGAGATATTGAAAACTCTTTGGCTAATACAAAATGAAACTAACAAATAATGTAAAATGAAATAGTGAATCCATTTTTTCGAGACATGTAAATAAAGGAGAATTAAAACAGGCATGGGAGTAGTGAAAAGTAAAACTGCAAGATAAACTCACCAGAGAAATGGCACACATACTGAACCAACGCATTGCTCCAGTTGTCACTGAAGGGGCTGCCAGAGAAAATGCCAAGAGTAGACCAATTTAAGAGGATTATTAAAACAGTTAAAATCAAAAGGACAGAGATAATAATCAACCGTAATACAGCTAAGACCTTGGGTGCTGTTGGATTTCCCTCATGAATTCTCCATTGAGGCTGGGAAGGATACGGCAATGATACTAATATTCATGTGAAAATGCAATAGAAAAAGGAATAATGCCAGAGGACATGGGCAACACAATGTAATTCTCATCATCACAAAGAGGGAGAGAACCAACCTTGGGAAAATTAGGGAAACATTCAAAAGTCTTTTTCCTATAAGATCAACAAATGTCTAGACTGGCAATACAGTCAAAAATATAGTCAACACAGACTTCTAAAAGGAAGGCCATGTTTAACTGTTCTTATTGAATTCTTTGAAAAGCTAAGAGTAATGAGAGCATTTTCAGAAGGTGCTATATGTGTAACAATGATCAGTGCTTGTGGATTTAGAGGTCTGGTACTGGCTCAATTGAAAGAATCTGGTAAAACAACAAACAAGGATATGTATAAATAAAGGTAGTAGGAACTGTCAATGCTGGAGTCTGAGATAACAAGGTGTAGGGGATGAACACAGCAGGCCAGGCAGCATCAGAGGAGCAGGAAAGCTGACGTTTCGGGTCTGGACCCTTCAGAAAGTCTGAAGAAGGATCCAGACCCAAAACATCAGCTTTCCTGCTCCTCTGATGCTGCCTGGCCTGCTGTATTCATCCAGCTATACACCTTGTTATCTAAGTATAAATAGATATCTCCTAGACAGCAGGAATTAGAGTCTTGCTGGACCATAGGGCTGCCCTTACATTACAGAGAGACAACTGACGGTGGTTTAACTTAAGGGTCACCCTGTCTCAGGCAAGGGGTGAGGTTGAGAAGGAAAATCCTTCATGGTAACCTCAGGCAGTGTAGGAATTGAACCCATGCTGTTGGTATTACAAACGAACGAACCATCCAGCGAACTGACCTAACAAGAACACTTGCTGTGGAAGGGATATTAAATGTCACATACATAAATCATGTTGATTTGGAAATTTGAATTACTGTGTCAAGAGTTGTAGACAATACTTGGGGATAAGGCAATAATGTGCAAGGCTGCTGCATAATTAGTTGAGTGCAAGGCTTGTGAAATTCAGTTTGTCAAACTGGGAAGCTCTTGATTTTGTTCGGTAGAGTTAGGGAGTTTATTCCTTGGAATACAGGTAATGAAATGGGACAGCGAAGTAAAGAGCTCTGGGAATATTAATGAATTAATTTCAGAATTAGCAACACAAGTCAATAAGGCCATAAAGAGTGCAATAAAGTACTGGATTTCCTTTCTAGAACAATGGAATACAAACACAAGGTGGTACCATTAAATTTGCATAGAACCTTGGTTCGACCACATTTGGAATACTGTGCCCAGTTCTGATATCTATTATGTAAAATGCATATGGAAACATGAGAGAAAATGTAGATACAATTGATGAAGGTGATATCTGATTTGCGAGGGTGTGACTATCTGGAAATGCTGAACAGACTGGAGCTCTTTTCTCTGCAAAAAGAGGACCCCTTTTTAAATAGGAGTTTGATGGGGTTGATTTCGGAAAATTGTTACTGGTTCAGGACTAAATAAGGGTTTCATCAGATCTTTGCTGATCAAGTAGATACCTAAAGAACCCATAGGATTTAGATATGGCAAGAATGTGTAACAAGTTGCCACACAGAACTTGAGAAGCATTCATACTCTGAAGGGCAGGCTTGTTGCATACATGTGGGAAAATGGAACGTAAGAATATGAATGCAAGGAGGGACTGAGCTAATTAGATTGGGGAAAGATTCATTAGAGTGGGAGGAAGCTTCTGCATAAAATAAAAAATGGTACAGACTGACTGGGCCTGTGTTTCTGCTGCAGATTCTATGTTGATTAAAATATATTACAATTTATGCAATTTTCTTTGAAATGGCCACAACATTAGCATCAGTGCAACAAAAAAGGGTATTTTCCAGAGCTGTCACATCTTCAATTTGTATCAAACCTGCAATAAAGAAGTACTTCAAAAATCCATTGAGAGTTATTCTTTTATTTTAAATCAACCTGCTCAGGGATGTTATGACGCACCTCTGGAGCAGGTGGGACCTGTACCTGAACCTTCTGGCCATGACATTATTGCTGCACTCAGGAGGTCTGCCTCAGTGATGTGCTACAAGACTCCCAGTGGGAGCAATCTGAAACTCATTTAACATCCATACTAGAGTCTGCTTTGTGAGTGGTGTAACCCTGGTTAGTTTTTTTCTAAAAATATCCCAAACATTGAGAAGCAGTCAACTTTTAACATAGCTCAAGATGGACGCAGCTTCAAATCGCTGTCCTTAATATTCTCTTCTCCCTGGATCTCTTGACTGCTTTTCGGAACATAGTGGCGCAAATGTCAAAAGTCAAATCCAATGGAATTTTGAGCTGTTAAGTGTTGTGTGTGACTCAATGTTGCGAGAATGGCAGCCAATCTGAATTCTAGTCTTTATTTTATGTCCATCTATACGTTCACGAACAGCTAGTATCACTGAATTGCAATGTAAAGCAAAGACTGCTAAGGCAAACAGAAGTGTTCCTACTGGTCAGCCACAAACAGCAGATCATATTTGGGATCTTCCCAGTTTGTGTGGCTTCCCTGTTTATTGTTTAAATGCATTGAGTACAATCAAGAAAGCAAATTTCCTTTTGTGATATTTGATTTCAATGATCAGAAAGAAAGGTAGCTGACAGAATGGAAAGATTCACACACATTCAGAATAGCAATCTACTTTACCTTTCTCCAATACCAATGGATGTGGTTTTGGAAGCATTTATGCTTGAGTGACAAACATTAACCTGGCAGAATAAACCAGATCCACAACGTACACAACAAGATTTGCAAAAGTTAATACAGCTACGATGACCTGATTTTCCCAAGGGCAGCTGCCTTTTACACAATGGGATGGTCTGGTGGGCTGGCCATAGTGTTCGCTGAAGCAAAAAATTGGCCAGATGATTGCTGCAGTACTGTACATCAATACAGCCACAATGTTATAGACGGTCAAAAATCTCTCAAATGGAAATGGTAGCCTTGCAATGAGTTTTGCTATGGTTAGAAGGATGATGGAAAAGGTGATGATGAAGCATATGCAGTACACAGCCATGCACCACTGCCGCCCACCATTGGCTTGATACGACCCCTCGATTATCACAAAGATACTACAGGCAACAAAAGCTTCCAACACTTTCAGGAGCCCGGGAACAGTCTTTAAAAATCCACTGATTTCACCAGGTCTTGCCCGTGTGAGGCCAATTTCGATGGCATAAGCAAGAAAGCACATGCAGCTCATAACGGTGGCAGCTATCTTAAAGTCTTCACCTGCCTGGTTGCTGGACGTGAGGAAAACGGTTGGGTAGATTATCGAGGCCGTCAAGTTCATCAGCGCAGCGAGCATTGCAAAGGAAGCAGTGAAGTCTTCCCAGGATATGGGAATGCTGGAGTAAAGGGCTGTCAGTTCCAGCACAATGATCAGTACTGAGACGGCGAACGAGAAGCACCAGGAAAACATGCACCAACATCCATAAGGTCCATAATATTGCCTCACGTGGGCGACCAGGCTGAATGCTGTACATGAGAGAAAGGTTTCGAAGAGTCTCACGATTCCTACTGGACCCGACACTGATTTATAATTCACCGACACAGGCATCTTGCTAAACAATGGTGGGGCTCCACAAAAAACGCTGCTGTTGGTCTAAGTTCCTTTTCTGCAGTAACTGCCCAGGATGATCTTCACTCCTGTCCACACTGTCTGTGAGTCACTTCTGTGCAAGCATTCTTGTACCTCAGTACAACACAATGGTGGTTTATTTGTTATCGCAATTGAGAGGTGCGGCACAAAATAGAGGTGTGTTCCCTGGATAGTTTGCTGTGTACATTATTTACCGTCAGGTCACATTGTCTTCAAAGATGTGTTTGTTCTTTCCTATCTTAACTACACACAAACGGAAGTTACTCATTTACTGCTTCCAGAATCCACCCTTACAAAAAAACATTTGCAGATCTTTGTCAGGCGAGGAAAGTTTACAGAAGGACTTCCAAACTGCGATGTCTGTTGTAAGATCAAAATCTGACACAGGTTCAGACTTAAGGTGAAGTTTTTCACCGACACAAGGCCTGAAGTGCAGAACTCAATCCCCAGTTGTCCAGTTCCTACACAATAAAGCTGACTAACAGTGGACTGCCACTCTGTAAACATGTACAGTGACAGGGTGAAGTGTGGGAGCCATAACAATGTCATTGCAGCATGCGCTAGTTTTACAGTCAGTTTTCCAAATGGATGTTGACTTGATTTCTCTCCCCAGTTGGGCTCACAGGAAGAAGAGGAGGCCATTCAGCCCCTCAGATCTGTTTTACCAATTATGCCAGATCTGTCTCTTAACTTATCCACCTGCCTTGATTTTGTAACCTTTGATAGTATCAGTACAGTTTTGATGAAAATAATATATTTACGTGGAGCAATTAATATTCTTGCACTTCCTCTGGATGTTTTAAAATAAGTCTCTCTCTTTTCGGACCTACCTCAGCTTCTTTTTTGTTTTCTATGCCATTCTGTTTTTCTTCTGCCCTCCTGCTTATCTCGTGCATGTTTTCATTGCTTCTGTGTATCTGTTTTTTTTCTGAACAGAACGGACTATTCCTGTTTTATGCAATTAACTTCTTTTGTTCACAGTAGAAGGCAGCTCCCTTGTACATTCTGTAACAAAATTGTAAATTTGTTCTCTGTAACAGGATCTGCACGTACTAGTAATATTTCCATCTCCCAGCTCATCATTGGCCATTTTTCTCAGTTGTGTAGTTTGTACCGAGGGGCCTGATGGAGAGATCAGCTACATCCAGCTGGAAGGGAGCACTGAAGAAGGGACTACATCGAACCACAGTAGGACAAAAACAGTCATTTTTCTTCACACGGTTTTGGATTGCAAGTCCAATAGGTAGGCAGTGGCTATATTGATTAGTAATTGTTCTTTTTCCAGATGTTCCCAGCATGTAATCCCATGTATTCTGGCTAGTTGCAATTATTTCGTCTCAATTGTCTTTACAATAGTTTGGGTTCAGTAAAGTATTGCATATTTGTAATTGGCACAGAGGAGGGTGGAATATGTTTCTGGAGGTGACCGAATGTGATATTTATTTAATGGACAGCTTCAACCATATGGCACATTTATCTGAGTTGTATCGTGTTATGTATTACAGCTGTCAGTGTGGCTCCTGTATGCAAAACAGGTTCATATGCTTTTTGCTATTTTTGTTAATCTGGCCTTCCCACCCGGGTTTGAGTTGAAATGGATAGCTAAAAGGTCTTGCTCAACTTCAACTGACCTTAAGTAGTTGTGTTGAGGTAGTTTGAGCTATAGATACTGTTTCTAGCCACCCTTGCTAGCTTGCTACCATGGTCAGCTCACGCTTTCCATGAAGACACAGTTGTAGATGACTACCAGTAACGTGTGTGCAGTTAACCAATTAATATATAGCTCAATCTCATGGTTAATATCTCCTAGATTGCACTGAAATCTATCTTTATTAATACCTACGTAAGTATTAAGCATCCTCCCTCTCCCCCACATGTCACTATTACACCTGCTGCTCTATCTTCAAAAGAGAAGTGAACTGGACTGGTTTGAAATATGTTTGACATGGGCAGCTCACACACCGGTAAAAGGTTGTTAAACAGGTGATCTTGGGCTAATAATAAACAAAATGACAAACTAATTGATAAATCTTTCACAATTACATCAACTTGGAAACGGGTTTAGTATGAACATTCAAGCCAGGATTGTATTTTAATTAAAGGCAAAGTCAGCATAATCTTGCTTGCCCATTAGAGAGAGATGACTGGTGGTGAGTATTCACCTGAGGGCCACCACACCTTACGTCAGAGAGACATTTCCATAATAACCTCCATAGGGCGGCACAGTGGCTCAGTGGTTAGCACTGCTGCCTCACAGCACCAGGGATCTAGGTTCAATCTCCAGCCTCGGGGTGACTGTCTGTGTGGAGTTTGCATGTTCTCCCCGTGTCTGCGTGGGTTTCCTCTGGGTGCTCCAGTTTCCTCCCACAGTCCAAAGATGTGCAGGGTAGGTGGATTGGCCATGCTAAATTGCCTGTAATGTGTAGATTAGGTGGGTTATAGGGGGATGGGTCTGGGTGGGATGCTCTGAGGGTCGGTGTGGACTTGTTGGGCCAAAGGGCCTGTTTCCACACAGGAATTCTATGATTGACCTCAGTTGGTGCAGGAATTGAATGCACGCTGCTAGCATCACAACCACTCATCCAAGTGAATCAAACCCCTGATTTAGCCAGCAGGGACACTAAAGAGATTTGCGTCTGGGAACGGCTATCATTCATGGTTAGAAGCTACGCAACAAACATATTAGGTGCTCAACCTTATTGCTTCAGTCATGGACAGAACCATTTCTGGGTCCCAGCACCAATGCTTTCTGAGGTGCCACTGCTCCAAGAGTCCTGTTCAGTCAAGCACTGTGGCAGTGCCTGAGCAGCTGGCAGCATTACCAGGGGAGGTGGGCACTGCTGCAATAGGTAGGAAACCAGGATGCCACCTCAAGACGTAGGTGCCCCCTGAACACTTTTGGAAGTTTAAAAATAAACTTTGTTCCATGTTGCCAAGCCATTAATGTGGAGGTGTTGTCTCATCCACCCTACTGACTTCAGACTCAGTGAGGGACCTGCCCACAATTCCACCCCTAAGTGGACATCTAACTGCCCTTAATTGGCTATCCACCATTTTCAGTCAGCAATTCACCTTTGCTCAGATAACGCTTCTGGCAAGATCACTTGGATCTGGGTTCAAGGCAAGGAGCCAACCTTCTAACAACAAAGTATTAATTCACTTCTAATTCACCAAAGATCCTCAGACAGCACCTTCCAAATCCACGGTCACTTAAATATAGAAGGACAAGGGCAGCAGATACATGAGAACACCACCATCTGCAAGTTCCCCTTCAAGCCACTCACCATCCTGACTTGGAAATGTATCGCTGTTCCTTCACTGTCGCTGGGTCAAAATCTTGTAATTCCCTCCCTAAGGGTCAACCCACAGTGGGTGGACTGCAGCGGTTCAAGAAGGCAGCTCACCGCCACCTTCTCAAGGGCAACTAGGGATGGGCAATAAATGATGGGCCCAGCCAGCGATGCCAACATCCCGCAAATGAATTAAACATGTTCCCCTCCTGTTTCCAAATCTGTCGCCTCAAGCTGATAAGATTCCATCCAAAACAATTATGCTCTGATTGGTCAATGGACAGCAATATATTAGACGTTCCTGTTGCCTGTTTAATTTTCATGATTTGTTACATGAAAGTTGCTGGAAATGCTCCCCATCCCGATCCCACACATCACTCTTCCCATTTCTGTTCACCTCAGCATCCCTCTACCCCTGAATCCTGGTTGGAGGGTGAAATTATGGTTATTCATCTTCAACTTCACATTGGTCTTCAATTTGTTCCATGTCACCATAATCTTTGTGGGGTCATTGTCATTATCTTGCTTCTTCTCTGTGTTTTTATCAAGCCTTCCTTAGTTCATGTCCCAATATTATCCAACTATCTAGATGTTCTTCTTCTCAATCAGTCTTCCAGTTGTTGCTAGGGAAAAGCTGTTAGATCTTCACTTCCATTGTCCACCCTTTGCCATCTTTCTCTTTCTAACTATACTGAACCACCCTTTTGATTCCTGGACCCTTATCCTTGATCTAACACATCCATTTCTCCTTTTGTCCATCTGGCTGATGCTGAGCATCCTCTGCCGAAGGCCATTATTTTCTTTTCACTCTCTTTCCTGGGAGTCAAACTCTTGAATCCATGGAGTGTAACATTCCACACTGGTGACTGTCAGATAATTTCTCAGCTTCATGCTAATACGTTTCGACTTCCAGACTCTTCTTAAGTCACTGGGCATGCCTGTCACGTGGGTAATGCCCTGAAGAGGAATTGAATGAAACCAGTGGGAAAGAATCCCTCTACCTGATAGGAACATCGCTTATATACCAAATAGAAGCAGGCATAGGCCTTTCAGCCCATCGAGCTCTTGCTGCTGCTCACCACATCACAGCCGGTTTTCTTACTCAACGCCACCTTCCCATACTAAATCCAAAACCTTTTATATCATTTATATGGAGCAAATTATCAAACTCTGCAATCAATAACTGAGCCACATGAAGTAAAGAATCCCAAAGATTCGCCACTCTTTGAGTGAAAAAATTCCTCCTTATCTCATTCTTGAAGGCCCATCTTTTAGTCTGAGACTGTGTCCCCTCGGACACAGCTGAGCTCTTTACGTAAGTTTAAAAGGGAGGGTTTGATGATTGTGGGAAAAATAGGGGACAACCATTAATTGTTTCTTCCTAATGCCAACGTTTGCAAATGTACAAGCCTAAGAGTTATCTGAAATGCTGTACAAATTATTATGAGGCAGAGACATGGGTGCCTGGAACTACAATGGCAATGATTCTTAATCAGTAATTTGAATTTATAGAGATGCTATTTATTATTGCTAATTTTGTGACTGTTTGATTTTCCTTTATGAGTCAGTTCTCCTTCCCGTGCAAATGTTTTACCTTGTTCGAAGTACACATTGCAGTGCTTGGTGTTGAAAAGAATTCCCTTATTGCTGGCTGTCTGAATAATTTAGTGCTTTGCAAGGTTGAGCATCTTATTGCATCACTGACTATCTACCCTTTGAGCTCCCATGCTGTTTGGCATCATCACTTAATGGCAGTGATAAAGGAATCGCATTCC